CTCTCTCTCTCTCTCTCTCTTTCTCTCTCTTTATTTTCAACGTAATATCAGTATTAAAACGATAAAGCCGATGTTAGAGATATTAAAAATTATCTTTATAAAGGGAGCCAAGAATAAAAATATAATAGAAAGATAAGAATCGATGTGAAAGATCGAATTTGAAAATCATAAGCTGTCGTTCGTGATTCATTTCATTTTATCATTCATACCGATTAGTATTATCATCTTGCGTGTTGATATTGTTCTTTTGGAAGATCGCCATAAGTTTTATAGTTCATTTAGTTAAATTTTCTCTTGAATTTCATATGAAAATGACGAAAGTCTATGACAACGATGTTCTTCGGTACGTAGCTTTTATCGTCTCTTGTGAATTATACACGATAGATGATAACGAAGATTTGTAAAGTTCTTGATATATATATATATATATACATATATATATATATATGTAAAATATATACTAGAGAGTGTGTGTGTGTGCGTGTGTGTATGAGAGAGAGAGAAAGAGAGATAATCCATCTAGACCACGTCGACCGCGATCGTCGTAATTATTTATGCCAGCTTGGAATAGTAAATTGGGCTAAATTATCGGTACACAGAGCGTACGTATCAGACCATGTTCCTCGAGCCACCGGGACGAGATTAGCAGAACGTCAGTGTCCGATAGTGCCATTCTGATTGAGACCGACCACTGACTCCATTTTGGCTTTATCTTCCTCGGACGGCTATTTCCGGAAGATGAATTGGACTTTTCAAAGTGTACAATACATTGAGATATATACTGTAACGATTCGAGATCTCATGAGTCTTCGATCATCTTTTTTTATTTATCATTTATCTTCTTTCCTTTTTTTTTTCTTTTTCTTTTGTTTTTATTTTTGAAAAGTCTTTTTTTCTTCTTTTGTTTATATTCACTTTTCTTCTTATCATCGATTAATAATTATTATAAGGGATTAAAAATATTAAGTAAGTATATATATATATATATATATATATATATATATTATTGATAATGAATTAATAGAGATTATGGAGAATGCACTGTCTGATAATCCTATGTTCCTATGTTCCTTCGATAAATACAAGGCATAATCGATACTTCCTACTATATATGTCATAATACCGACTTAACAGGTACTTTGCTAATAGCTTTGTTAGCTACTACTATTACTACTACTATTAATGCTACTATTACTAACTTAATGTATACGCCAGCAACGACGTACCTTCCTGATTTATTCCACTTTCTCTCTTTCTCTCTCTCTCTCTCTCTCTCTCGGTCTCGCTCTCGCTCTCGCTCTCTTCTCGTTCTACCGTACGAATTTAACGGAAAAGTTAGAACGACATTGCATTTTCGGTCGAACAAAGGGCCGAACTTTCGTTTCAATCCGCTTGTCGGGCTAATTCGATCTATAGGAAAACTTTATTTCGCGACGAAGGTAAAATCCAAGCTTGGCCCTTTCTAGATACATACATAGTTAGATAAATCGGTACGAGAAAAGTGACTTCCCCTTTTCTCGCTATCGTTCTTCGTTTGGAAGATTTTAAAACGTTCTCCCAAAGAAAGAGAGAGAAAGAGAAGGTAGGAGAGACTATTGCCAAATCGAGTATCGATCTTACGTATATGTATGTTGAGTTTTCAAGGAAAAACGTTGAGACATTTTCTGAAAGTACCATCGTACAATATCTCAGGATTAAAAGCAATGTCCTAATGTAAACGTAACTTTTATTTTCATCGCACTATATCCTACATTCAAGAAATACAAAACGAATATATTCAAGTTAAATTTTATCACGTTGTTCAATATAAATTTCGTAAAGAAAAAAAAAAAAAAAAAAAAGAAAAACAAAAGGAATACAAAATTACGACGTTCGCATATTAGTTATCTTGATTTAATGCAAAACGTTATTCTTTTGACTTTTATCATGATTACTTTATATTATTACTTTATATTATTACTTTGAATTGTTTCGATGATTTAAAAAAAAAAAAGAAAAAAAAAAGAAAAGAGGGAGAGAGAGAGAGAGAGAGAGAGAGAGAGAGAGAGAAAGAAAAAATAAAAGAAAAAAAAAGAAAAAGAGGAAAAGTATCTTTTAAACTGTTATAGATATTTTTGTATATTTTTTTTTCATTTTGTTATTTTTTTTTTTTTTCTTTTTTTATTTTTGTTAAACACCCAATACATTCGTCGAGTTTTAACTTCCGATTCTGACTCCGTTCACTTTTCATACACAAAACGGAAATCAAAAATCGTGTAACGTGTGAAACGTGTTGGTGTTATTCGAGTTGCCATATGACGGATAGCGCGAATCGACGTACCAGAAATGTTTCAAATATATCGTCGACGCGTTTACCGTTTCAACAATGACGAAATCATTGCGCGTACTCGCATACAAACAGAAACTGTCGATATCATTCGTAAAGCGTTCTATATTTTAGTATGAACACTTGCCATACGGTTACGGATATAGAAAGAGAGAGTAGATAGATATAACACGCAAGCGCTAACATATTTGTATTTTCAAAATATTTGGCGGGTTGCATCAACCATCTGTTTCTCCTTGATTCATTGCGATATAGTTTGATGATTACACCCCGTCTCTCTTACCCTTTTTTCCGCCCTGCCGCCGCCACCCCCCCCCCCCCCCACTCCCTCTAATCTTTGGATTGGAAGAACATTTAAATTTTATGATAGAACGAAGTGAAATGAAATTTATTTTAAATCAGTATTAACAATCTTGATTGAATCCAGTCGATCCAACGAAAAAATATTTCAACGATTGTTAATATAACCGAGGATAAAAATAAATTGTAATTATGAAGTTTAATAAAATATCAGAAGGTAGGATGGGGATGAGCGAGAGTAACTTCAAGTGCTATCTATCGATCGACGTATGTCAAATGGAATTAACGTGACGTCATGTTATATCACGTTAATTCGTACGAAAATATAACGATTTAATTTCGAAAGAAAGTCGAAGTAGGAAAGAAGAGAGAAAGAGAGAGAGAGAGAGAGAGAGAGAGAGAAAGAGAAAAGAAGAAAAAAAAATAGAAAAGAAAGAAAAAAAGGAAAGAAAGTTTTAACGTTGGAACGTCACGATCATGATTATTTGGGGATTTGTTGTCGCGTTTTCTTTCTCCCTCTCTCTCTCTCTCTCTCTCTCTCTCTTTTTCTTTTGCTATTTCTGTTTCTCTTTCCGAAACGTGCGGTCTTTTCGTGAGGATAAAAAAATTCAATTTACGAGGAAAACAAAGTCGAGAAGTCACACGCAGAAACGACGCGCGATCCTCGCGTCGCGCATCGCCAACTCGTATCGATGGGATGGAAGGCAAAATAGAGAGATTTTTTTTACTCTCCCTTTCTCTCTCTTTCTTCCTTCCTTTTCTCTTCGATTTTTCCTTTTATCTCTCTATCTCTCTTTTTTTGTTTTTCTTTTTTCCTTTTTTTCTCTTTTCTTTTTTTCTCACACAGAACGATATTTTTTCGACCTGTGCGCACATTCATCTCGCTGCAAAAACGAACTTTCGTGACAACGAGGGTGAAAAAGAGAAGAAGAGAGAAAAAAAAAGGAAATGAAAGAAAGAAAGCAAGAAAGAAAGAAAGAAAGAATGAATGAATGAATGAATGAATGAATGAATGAATGAATGAATGAATGAATGAATGAATGAATGAAATAAAGAGAAAAAGAAAAATTGAAGAAGCAAAGAATCAATCGTACGACACATCGATCGTTTATCGAAAATAAAACAGATGCTATGGTAAAATAATCTTTTCTTTTCGTTTGCCTCCTTTTTTTTTCCTTTTTTTCCTCCACTCGAAGCCTAGATAATTATTCGCCGATATCGGATACACCGACATCGAACCAATTGCCTCGATTTGCCTCTATTATTAACAATGCAAGCACTACAGAAACGGAGAGTAAGAGTAATAATAAAAGATAGATAGATAGATAGATAGAGAGAGAGAGATGGAGAGAGAGAGAGAGAGAGCGGTGTTTATATGCTGCTATGAAAAGAACTTCTCTTCTCGAGGGAAAAAAAATATTATAGGAGTAAAGAATGAGAGAGAGAGAGAGAGAGAGAGAGAGAGTGTATGAGAGATAGAGTGGGAGAGAGAAGAAAATTCGTAACGCGTGTCGATACCGTGGCCGCGCGTTATTCAAACTCCCTTTTTGTTATTCCATTCTCAAAGTGTTCAATAACAAGGCTTTATTACAAATACTCATCCTCCATTTTTCTCGCATTTATTTTCTGGCCAGCTACGCAGTATCTCTTTTATCTCGAGAAAATATTTTTCAAATAGAAAGAAAAAGGAAAATAAATAGAATTCCATGTATGTATATATATATGTATATATATATATATTTTTTTTTTCTATTTAAAGGACTATCGTTTGAGAAAAGAAAGCTGAAAAATGTCACAATCGGCCAAGTCGATTCCTGAAAGTAATGGCTTTTGAATCAATTTTCATATAGGTAAGAAGGTTATACATATGCAGATAATACGACATTTAAATGTCAAAGTAACTTAAATATATAACAATCTGTTTCTATTCTTTTTCTTTCTTTCTTCTCTCTCTCTCTCTTTCTCTCACTTCTTTTATTCTCGTATACTTTATATACATTTTTTTTTAATAAATTTTTACAGTCCACCGCGATTTTCAAGCTATCACGTAGATAAACTTCATTTTTTATTCAGGTTACATTTCTCTCGTTCTTTTACAGAAATAACAAAAATAACAAGAAAATAAAAAAAAAAAAAAAAGAAATGAATAATAACAAGGATGCTTATTGGAATAATTATTATGTACCTATTTCTTCTTTTGATATCTCTTATCCACCCGCTTCTCCCTGTCCTCTCCTCCTTGATTCGTTGATCTTCACGCTTTGATTAATAATTCGAAATTTTACAACAATGTCAAATGCACTCCTTCCTTTCTCAAGGGAGATATGCACATTACACAATTCCATGGTATACACGTCTAAAGTGAGAGTCATGAAATCGGCGTTCGCATGAAAGCTCACGTTCGGATTACGTTCGTCGGTTTATTTCGGCGAAACACTATCGGAAGTTGAAATTTGCCTGCCGAGCGGAAATTTGACCTACAATTGACACGTGAATAGTCGCGTTATCTAGACGCACGTACGTAGATATGCGACAGACAGAGATAGACAGACAGACAAAGAGAGAGAGAGAGAGAGAGAGAGAGAGAGAGAGAGAGAGAGAGAGAGAGAGAGAGAGGGAAAGAGAGAGAAAAAGAGAGAGAGAGAGAGAGAGAGAGAGAGAAAGGGATGCTGAGCTGAAACACGGGAACAAACGTCGACAAATGTATCAACCAGAAAAGTGACGCGTTACTCGGGCGTGAGCTTTGACGATATATATATATATATATGTGTGTGTGTGTGTGTGTGTGTGTGTATTTTAATCGTGAGTTCTGAGACAGATCATGCTTTCACAGTTTAATCATAAATCGATTCGAATGAAATTCTTTAATCCGTAATTTATTTTATCTTTTTCTTTCTTATCTTAGGATTTCATATTATTTCGGAATATTTTTCTAACCTTCAATTAACTTTAACGTACAAAAATATATACATTAATATCGTATACGAGAATTAAATTTATATTCGACAAATTAAATCTTACATAAATAAAACAATTTATGTTAAATAATTTTATATACGTATATAATATATAGACTTTAAATATACTGCCTTATATAATTATCATGAAACGAAATAAATAGATGGAGAGAAAGAGAGAGAGAAAGAGAGAGAAGGAGAGAGAGAAAGAGAGAGAAATAAAGAGAGAGAGAGAGAGAGAGAGAGAGAGAGAGAGAGAGGAAGACTGAGGGAGAGGGATATTGAGCTGAATCACGGGAACAAACGTCAACGGATTTATCAACTAGAAAAGCGTCGCGTTACTCGGCCATGAATTTTGACTGGTATATATATATATATGTGTGTGTGTGTATTGTGCGTTTGTGTGTGTACCCTTTTGGGACAGGTCATGCTTTCACATTTTAATCATAGATCGATTCGATCTATTATTCGATTTCTTTAATCTCCGGAATTTATTTATTTTTCTTCTTTTTTTTGTGTTTTTCTTTTTTTCTCGTTTTTTCCTTTTTTCTTCCCTTTTTTCGGATTTCAATTTATTTCGGAATTTTTTTCTAACGTCCGATTAACTTTTACATACAAAACTATACATGAATGTCGTATACATACGAAAGATAATTCAGTTTTCGACACAATTTAGATCGCACACAAACAAATCATTTTACATATATTAAATAACTTTATATACGTACTTCATATACAAACTTTAAATATACTGTCATGTATAATTATTATAAAACGAAGTAAATGGAGAGAGCGAGAGATCGAGAGAAAGAGAGAGAGAGAAAGAGAAAGAGAAAGAGAGGGAGAGTGAGAGAGAGAAAGAGAGAGAGAGAGAGAGAGAGAGAGAGAGAGAGAGAGAGAGAGAGAGAGAAATTGAGATCTCGTTTGGCTCGTTAGATCACTTATGTACATCATAATGCGTTATCCGCGTATGGACGTTGTTCTTGCTCGATTCGGAAGTGCACACAATGCCATATCAAATCTGGACCCTGGTCGCGTACCGCTTCGTAACTGGTCCAAACATGGGGATCTCGGCTGGCCAAGCCTCCTATCAGAACCTCCGTTTCGCATCTGCTTTAATAACGTATGGCCGGAGAAGTTCTCTCTCTCTCTCTCACACACACATTCTCTCTCTTACGCACACACTCGCTGTATGCATGTTCATATATATGCGTACGAGTTTGAGCGCATCTCTCTATATTACACAGAATGATTTACATGCCGGCTGCGGCAATATGTCATACACGATATGAAAGGCGACGATACACCATAGGTTTCTACTATAAGAATAGAACTTCTATTATGAGTTAGGAAAAATTTTATTTTCTTATTATCGAATTGAGAATAATTAATCCGATCGAAATTGGATATAAATTTTTACTTGAGTGAATGTAGGTCACACGTTTTTTATTTCAATTATATGAAGTTATTTTAAATAATAAAATTACGTACAAGAAAAAAACAAAACAAAAAAAAGAAATAGATAGAAACGTGATAACACATATTTTTCTTTCTTTAGTTAGAAATCCAACATATACAGATCCGATTAAAGGTGAAACGTCTTCTCTAGAAATATCAAACTATATGCATACATATATTATATATATATATATATGTATACATACTTACATATACTATATATTTACGTATACATATGTCAAAGTACGAATTCAATGTAAATGTAGTTACGTAAATATACGACTTGAAAGATTTTCGAATTTACTTCTGTGAAAGTACACCGAAATACCGAAAGTACGTTCGATCCGATCGTATCGAAGTACGAAGAGAAACGATAAACACGTCGTACGTAGGTTCAAATGCTCGTTCGTCGTACTAAGAAAGGGGTAGCAGCTCTTGGAAATCGGTTGGAATAGGCGTCAGGTGTGTCACCTTGACTGGCAATTTGGTCAGGAGCCTATTATTCAGTTCTTATTCAATCTCATGGCCCGTGCCTGAATAAATCGTCGCCATTTCCTTGAGAATCGTCGACTTTATATCTTTCTTTCTTCCCATTTCACGGAGAGAAACCTCTCTTACCCTTCCAACCCCAAATCACCCCAAACCTCTTTCTTCCTTTTGTTGCAGTCGTCTAGATTCCTTTTAGCCACCCCTTTTAGATCCTCTTTCTCTCTCTTTCTCTCTCTCTTTCTCTCTCTCTCTTTCTCACATATACATACATTTACACTTACCATTCTCGATTCGATTCTAACTCGTTTCCGAGATACGATAAACGAAAGTAGTTCTCTGTCTAATTCAAAGAATATATACACGTTCTTTCAAAACGTATAGCGCATAATATCACCCCGAGGGATTTAATATGCTGAAAATAAGAAAAAAATTTAATACGAGGATATGTCCAAGATGAGCTTGTTATCGAGATACAAACGTCTTATTGCATTATATCAATTATTTATCATTCATTAAAGAATTTGTTCGTAAAAATCATCCTCTAGTATAATTTTTTAGACATCTTATTACTGAGATTTTAACTCGTTCGAACTTGTCGGACTTAAATCTAATAGATTTAATTATCCGTAGCGGCACCTAAACCAATTAGTTTGAAACAATGTAATTACAGACAATGTTGAGTTACTAAGGCAACGTATTATGGAGGAATGGGATAATTGCCAATAAAATTGAACAATAGCAGGCTATTTTGAACGACCCGATTGGTAATCATTTCGATGAATTTTTTATGAATTAATATAATAGAAAAAAAAAAGAAAAATCTGTGTAAATACGTTTATATATATTTTTTCTTTCTTATTTCTAATGTAACGCAGCTGAATCCATCGGTGAAGTTATAACCGCATATTCTGAAACATCCTGTATGGAGTGTGATTTTGAAAAAAGAAATAAAAAGATCTATCGAGTTTTTCTTGGAAGCATGCTATATATATATATACATATTTACGTATGTATATATATATATATATATATATATATATATATGGAGATATATGTATATATATGTATGTGTATTAAGGACGGCAAAGTTCAAGGGACCTCTTGGCTAAAATGATCTACGTGAAAGGCAAAGACCTTATAGTAGTCTAGAGAAAGAGGGAGAGAGAAAGAGAGAGAGTAGGATGCTTTGACTTCAAAGGAGAAATTGGCTTGCGACATCTTTGACTCCAGGGTACACGGTGGTCCATGCATCGTTGCATCTCCTTCTCTTCTAGTTTCACGAACTTCCCTTCATTATGTAGGTTATTTGGATTATAAACGGTATCGTTCATTTTCTATATGAAAAAGATTACTTATTTGACTTTGATTCTTATCTTCTATTTTTTTTTTTTTTTTTTTATGTTTTTCTTCTTTTTTATTTTTTTATTGTTATTTTTCACTCGGTCGTCTTTCGTACATAATCGGTATACATAAAACGAAGTTGTGTTCACAATTCGTATCGAACAAATAATAGACATAGACGATAGAGAGAGTTTTTGTAGTAGTACTATTAACGATAGCGTTTGCACGTTCGAAAAACGATTCGGTGGATCTTGTCTCGTGGAAAAGGGTGTTACCAGGCGAAACCGTTAACGATTCGGCACAAAAGTCGATTCTCGATTTCCACTACCGGCAGATATGATATTCTAGTAAATGAGAGCCCGGATTAGAGTTGCTGCCCACAAAGGTGGAAGGAGGGAAAAGAGAGACAGAGAGAGAGAGAGAGAGACAGAGAGTGGGGGTGAGTTTCTTTTTGCTTTGCCATAGTAACTACAATTCGACGAGTACGGATAGAGAAAAAGAGATAAAGACAGAGAGATAAAGCGAGAGAGAGAGAGAGAGAAAGAGAGAGAGAGAGAGAGAGGGAGAAACAACGTGTATATAGTTGGCAAAGGAGCAAGCTAGAG